AAAAAATCCGACCCGCCGACCGGAATTTTGAAACACCAGGTTATGCAAAACGAAAAATTAACTTTGCGTGGCCTAATATTGTACAGTAAATAACTTTTTTTCAAAAGCAAACAACTTTTTCAATGAAGCTTTTTTTATGAAACTTCTTTTTCATTAACATATAATTTTCGTGTATCTGTTCTGATTCGTGTCACGTATGTACGTACATCGCGTACATCGCGTACATCACGTACGTACGTACGGTGCAGGAAATTAAAGACCTCAATCTCCATGTTAAGATAATGCATAAGCACGTAGCTCATTGAAAATATTACCAATCTCATTAGAGTGACGAACAAGGAAATAATACTTCAAGAATAATATGTACTTAATATGTGCTGTTTTATGCATACGGCTGAAACTTAAAATAAGCCGCTACCGAATTTAGCTTATCTCCAATATGCTTGTCGTTTGTTATTCTACATAAAGTGATTGAGGTTTTTAGATTTCCTGCACCGTACATCACAAAATAAAGTGTTTCAATGTTTGTACGACGTGTTATACAAATGATGATTTTGCAAGCTTGTGAAATTAAAATAAAATATCATTGAAATCATTGAGTTGTCAAATGCTTTAGTTAATATGCAATTATATACTTTAATATAAAGCATATTTATAAACTAGGAAATAGAAACTATTGATGATCCGAAGGGTCAGATATATACGTGGTTGAGAAAGATAATCTACATTATAACAACCAATCAAAATTTTTAATTTGCAAACACACTGGTGCTTTATGACTCCACCGTAATGCCTTTCGGACAATTAATTTTTTAACTTATCTAATATCGATATGTGCTGGCAAGTTTGCTAAATTTTGCATTGGATTGGATATCGATGTTATATTGCATATTTGGTAGTCTGTTAACTAAGTAAATCAAAATAATAATACTAAATCACACCAGTGGTGTTCTATTTTTAATAAGTTTGCTAGTAAAATCTAAGGTTAAGGGGTCCTAAGTAGTTAGGGTGAGGGTTTGTAGTTAATTTTTGAAATATAACGACTGTAATGTTTATTGAATACTATTGATGTGATTTAGTAAAACCGTTAAATATGTAAAAACTTTTTTTTTTACGTAAAATATAGAACAAAAACCATAATCTAATTTATAAAATATATTATAAATCCGGTGTATACGTGTTATATGGATAACGCCATCCAAAATGCATAATAATGCCTAATACTACTAAAGGTAAGATAAATATGGCTATGGCGACACAAATGTACGGCATCTTAATGATGATATAAATATGGAAGTGAGATTCATAGGTACGTACAGTACGTACGAGTGCAGGCATTAGAATTTGTGTGTGTAAAGCATGTATTTTTACGTATTTCTCAGTGCTTGTCCCCTAGCGTATGTATTAGAGATGTGCCTCTCGCGCGAAATGCTGATATCATTCAATTGATTCTCGCGCGAGATAATATAAATAATTTATTATGACATCAGCATTTCGCGCGAGAAGCACATCTCTAGTATGTATACTACATAAGAGATAATATGGGTGCGGTCATGTTTAAAATTTGGTGTAACAATAACAATAACAGTATAAACCTGTTGGATCGACATAAGTTACAGCAAGGATCGACAACCGGACGGATTTATAAAATCTAATTTCTTGGCATTTAAAAAAAGTAAGCATCGACAAAAATTTTATATTGTGCAAATCGATACTTTAAATGTCAAATTATATAGAAGAATACCTGCTTTATGCGATAGTATAGTTAACTCAGTTTTGCAAAAAATGCCATAAGCCGTGTTTTCGTTGACCGCTCCCCATATAAAGTAGGTTAGTAAACAAAAAGTATAACGATAATAAAAATGGTAAAATATATAAAAAGAAAAAAGAAAAGTTTACTTTAGTGCCTTCGGAATATCTTTATAGAATTAAATAAACAAATATTCTTATTTACTGTGCCTCAGAATATCTTTATAGAATTTTACAAATAAGTATTCTCATTTACTATGCCTTAGAAATATTTTTATAAATTTACTAAATTTCGTTTAATTAAGCATTTTATAGAAATTTGATTCTTCTTTTTTTTTAACTGTATAAAGTATTGGTTTCTAATTAGATAAATAATAAACGGTTCTATGTCGATGTCCTGAAGATCAAAATCCCGAAGATACTAAATCCTGATACACTAAATCCTTAAAGAACAAAATCCAGAAAGTATAATATCCTGAAAATTTAAATCCTGAAAAAAAAACAATCCTGAAAAATCCTGAAAGGATCACAATCCCGAAGGGTCACAAATTGTGACCCTTCGGGATTGTGATCCTTTCAGGATTTTTCAGGATTGTGACCCTTTCAGGATTATAATCCTTCAAAATTGAGATCTTTCAGGAATTATGTTCTTTCGGGATTCTTTTTTTTCAGGATTTAAATTTTCAGGATATTATACTTTCGGGATTTTGTTCTTTAAAGATTTAGTGTATCAGGATTTAGTATCTTCGGGATTTTGTTCTTCAGGATATCGACATAGAACCATAATAAACGTCATTACTGTAAGTTTGCACTTTTATTTTATTCAATGATAATCCGAATAGTTCATAGAAGTCCATAAATATTGATTCATGTGTTCTGTGTCTTCGCCACAGATAGTACTGTGCTGTAGTTCAATATATGTTATAGTTACAATATATCATAAAGCTAAGTTGTAAGTAGCATTTTATTATAAATAATATCGCGGTTTCTTCACTATCAAGGTATTTCATATATATAAATTTTCGTTAAGCAAATACGATATTCAGAGAGTTTATTTTAACGAACCATGCATCAAATAAAAGATTCCTTCATGTTGATAACATTATTATTCTTTCAAGTAAGAAGAATAATAAAATTATAAAATGAATATTATTATAATATTTACAATGGCTACAAATCTTATTTGACTTCTTTTTGCAGTAAATATTCATAAATTCTGCAACTATCACCTTCCTGCGATGATACCTGATGGGTTTGGTCTGACGATCTAGCACCTAGTAATAATAAGTGTTCATAATGAATTATAAATAATAAAATTTTTTGACTAAACATGAACTGATGTTAGAGTGGCAAATTTAACATTTGTGAATGATTCTACCATACTCGACGATAGATGTGGTGCTATTCTCACTATTCCAATTAACGAATCAGCACCAATGATTAAATCTTATTTTGGTTCTCCTGCAATATTTATATCGTATACTTGGACATTTGATGACAAAGTCACACCACTACTTAATCCAAATATGTTTGCTACCACTTCAGAAAACGGAATTACAAATTGTTCATCTCTTCCATGTGAAACTGTGACACAGTTTGGGGCTTACAATGTTGTGTTTTTGCGGTCATTGATAATAATACTTTGCCAAACAAGGTTAATACATCATCGTAGACAGTATATAGCATATCATCACCAACAGGAAATAGCACACTATCACTAATAAAAATTAAACACCAGTCTGCTTTTTAATAAATAATAATTATTTTATTATATTGCTATACTCCTGGCAGAATACCATTTAAAAAATTTTATTTAAAAATCATTATAAATATTTTATAAATACCGGTAATCTAAAGATTTTTATTTTTACAAAAAATATTTAATAAAAAATACAAAAGGCTTTAAGAATAAATCGTTACTGCTAAATTTCATAATACATGTGGCAGCTTATGCTGAGATTGGCTTATACTGAGATTTTAGGATCTCTATTTAAATCTATAATATCTACTAAAATCCATATATATTCTTTTATTAATAATACTACCCTAAACCCTAACCAAACTGTGAAAAAAAGACTACAGAAAAAGCCCTAAAAAATTTTATAATTTTATAATAAATAGGTCAAGTTCTCAGCATAAGCCAATCTCAGCTTAAGCTGCCGCTAATTATACTAACCTTTATATTGTTTTTAGCTCAACGTTTAGATTTTTTTTATACTCTATTCTTTTCTAAAGATTTTTATAGAGATTTACTTCATATCGGCTGCGGTAATTATTGCTGCAATATCGTCGTATAAGTAAACAAAATATGTGACGATGCTTCAGGATTAGGATACAGGTTAGGTTAAGTTTAGGTGTGTAGGGCAATGTTGTCATTGGACAGGATGGACAACGGACAGTCTGGACGGATGTCCCGGACATGTCCGCCAAAATGTTAACGTCCCGGACAATTAAAATTATAATAAGAGCTGCTTTAGTAGTCCAATCGGGTCGTTTGATAAACCTTTTCGTAGAATGTGACATTGGACACCATCACGAACACGGGACAATGTCCAGGATATGGGACATCGTCCGGGACTGTCCGTGTCCCTGCAACTTTAACGGACAACGTCCGCATACAACATCGGTGTAGGGTATAGTCTATGCCAAAACTTTGCAAGGAATTATTTTATTAAGACGTAAAAAATTGTTTTATTGTGAATTACTGAGTTGCGCAAACGTTTTTCAATATTTTTTTAAATTGTTAATGTTACACCTAAGTTCACGATCCGATTGGCTAATCTCATTGCCGCAGGTGGTAAATATATTATTGTTATAAAATATTTTAATGATAATATCTAAGCTTCTAGAGTGATAGTTAAATACTAATGATTACAAGACTATATATAATTCTAAAATTATAAGACTTTAAAAATTTTACATTTTAATTACCGTAGACATGTATTTTTCACGTAAGTTGTCATCTATAAATGTACCTGGTGTTTCAATAATTTTTTTATGACTACTTTTATAAATAAAAAATCCAACAATAGACAAAAGCATGGCTAAAACAACTGCACCTATGCTAATGCCAATTACCATATAAAGGTTTGAGGAACTGTTACTTTGCTCTTTCTGTATCTGTTTTGGCGGGTTTGTTGTTGTAGGTATATTAAAAGTAGTAACCCAGATGTAATTTTGTATGTCAAGAATATAAATATTACTTGTGTATAAAATCGATGCCGAAGTTGAGCCTGATTATGTAAAAAATTAAATAACTTAGATAATATTCTTTAAATAAATCAATTAGGGTAGCTGCGCGACGCGGTCGCGCTAAAATCAGGAACGTAGGGGTGTTTTGTGGATTTGATCAAAAAGTACTGGTAAAAGAAGTACTTTTTGTTTTGAAATTGACAT